TTCGAGACTGCTCCGCCTGGCCAATTAATGCGGAGATTATTTTGTGTTTTTGTGCCAATCATCATTCGCGCCCTGCTAGACCTACGTGTTGTTGCAATCCAGTCATGGCCTTGTGACCTGGCAGTCACCGCCTAACGATGTCTCGCTGTTCCACCCACACCGGCCATTCGCTCAACTGCTGCTGTCGTGGCTTATTGCGCAATATGTTGGGGCGAACTTTTGTTCATCTATGGTTTGCCGGTCGTAGCAGCTCCCAACGAGTAGAAACCGTAGAACGTCTTCCAAGGCTTCCAGATCGAGGAAGCAGAGCATTCTACCGGTTCGTATCTCATCCCGTATCCATGCCCGTTGAAGGGATAACCGACTCGACTTGTCCGCATATGAGTCGTAGGAGCTGGGATGTGTGCCAGATTGCGATGCTGACCCCAGCGCAAGCGAGATAGCCGTGCAAGCACCTGCAGCTTCCAATTCTTTTTCTGCTCTCCGGCGTCATCCGTGCAGGAGCACAGAGTCAAGCCAAGTCCGCTTCCCGTAGGCTAAACTTACGAGCGGGAGTCTGTGAGTGTAAGGGACCGAAGATCATGTCCTGAGCGAAATTGTTCCTTTGCGGGTCAATATCATGGCTGAAAACTTTGTTGGTATTCGAAATGAAGGAGCCGTTCCCAAGAGCATGGCCGCGGGTGAGAGCTGAGCCGTTCGATGCGCATGGTAATTTGTCAAGACGCTAGCAATCTCTTTCATAGAGCGCATATTTTGTGTCTTGGTGAGTTGTGAGCGCGCTGCATAGTAACATGCAGTTTGCAATAGTGCAACCCGCAACAGCCTCCATCCGTCAACATGCCGTCGTTTCCAAGCATCGTGTTGTCTGCTTTGATCCGTCCGACCCGCCGTAGGCTGCTCTATGCGCGTTTTCGATCCTGCTGATTCAGAATCGTACATGCTTTCCTTGCCGGACAGGCGTTCTCCACAAAGCTCGAGCGTTTCAGTGGAGGTGGTCGAGAGTCGCAGCCTCCAGTGCTTTCACCGCCAAATGCTGACCAGCGCGAATTTCAGGATAAGCCCGTTATCGATAGTCATCGATAAGACACCCGCCAAAACTAAAATGCCCCGCCATCTCAACCTCCTGCGCCCTCAAACTCTAACGGCGGCAGTGTGATCAAGGGAACATCCAATCGACATGTGGTGCCGACCACAAGTGTCTCGACGGCTTACAGATCCTGCGACGTGGCGTCTGCGGCTGGGGGCAACATCAGGCGACGCCAGTGACGATACTACCAGATCAACCACTTACTTGCAGGCCCAGTCAGATCCAGACTTTGTGGCCACCTGAAAACTTTCGTGTGGCCAACGAATGACAGCACATCAGCCTTGTTTTCCTCGTGCCTACTCAGATCTTGTTTGGTCCCGCCGAAATTGGTAGGCTGTGGCAATTAAGAATGCTGGCAAAGACATGCTTTGCGGCTGTGTACATTTCGATTGGCCGAGCAAAACGCATGGCAAAATATAGTATACACCGCTCTGAGTCGGTCCGAAGCTTTCCTCGTCGATCTCCAGGCCGGCGCAGGCAGCAAACGTTTCGTGGTTACTAAGGAAGGACCAGACTCCGCAAGTCTCGCAGCGCCATGTCGTTATATCATTATGCATTGCGGGAACTTCACCCTGGCGGCGTTCTGTTCTGACATAACAAGTTTGGCTACGAAGTGGATATCTGTCTATCCTACGTTGTTCTGTAAGGTTTACGGAGGCCGTCTCTGTTAGCTGATGATCTTCTCGGGTTAGCTTGCGCGGCTTCATTCCAAGGTTGCTGATGCCTGCCCAGACGTCATCATCGGCGGTCGGTGATGCAAGACCCTGTTCATCACTTTATTCTGATACAGCACCCTGAGGTCAGATCTCTCATCGTGCTTCCGAAGAAACCGCTTTCCCAGGGTCCGATCAGCGAACACATGCATACGCAGGTAGCAACGACGTAGGAGCCCACTTCAACGAGGATTCGGGGTCAGGCTCGTCATTCTGGAAACGTTCCTCACATATCGACCAACATCATCACAACTCATCAAAATATTGTTCCCGGCTGGTGCCTCAGCAACCGGAGTATATTCCACATGTCTCGCGTCTTTAGATCACCCGCCCACACACCCCCTTCACATGTCAGTCCCAACAGTATATGCAGCAATAACGACGCACCGGAAACTTCGTCAAGCGGCTTCATCCAAAGCTTTGAATTCAAGCCACCCGTGTGCTCCACCATGGTTCATTGAAAGGAAACTGGAGTCTCCGTCTGGGGCCCGGCTCGTTGGCGAAGCGTGAACTCTAACGCGTCGCTTACACGACCCTATACTGGTCGCACGCGTGCGTTGCGAGTAATCGAGATGGATGATGAAACACTCAGCTCTGGCAGCCCTCTAGTCGGCGGTAACTATCCACCGAACCAAACTCTACATTCTAGCAACCCGGAGGAGATTGGATCGGCAGGGACGTCGGACCTTCTGCGGTTCTGTTGTGTTGTTCCATGGCTTTTCTGGACGAGTACAGCCGCTCGCGTTGAGCTTAGTCGTCGTTATGGGGTGATTCGATCTGAGGGTCCCGCAGATCACAGCGGCCGCGAGTAATCTGCGAAGTTTCTTCCACAGTAAGGTCCGACTACAGGGCAGAACTCCGGCGTCGAGTCCGTACACCGTATGCATGGTGAAGTGGTCAAAGACGTTGAGCATGTTCATCGCAAAGCCCGAGAATTCGCGCGCTGTCGGGTTTTGCACTTGGCGTACGCAGCACTTCGTCTGAGTGAGACATCTCCAGTCACGTGTATGTGAACATCGCCATCACGAAGATGATGTAGTCGCATGAGAACAATGCGGTCTCTCAGTGGCATTGCTTCGAATGCGATAACAGTCATGTGAGCTGCTCACACCATTTGCCACATCACGAAGCAACGACAGCCTCGTCAGCACAAATCTTACAACCTTCAATGTTTCGCCCTCGGTATCTCAGTAATCACCTGATGGGCATCTTCACACAATACCACGGGCATCTACTCTTGGCTCTTAGCAGTGTGGCAGTACCAGCTCCATCAAGCCCAATACCCGCGCCTGCCCGCCGTTACTCACATGTTTCGCCATCCACCATGCATTGACAGCCTCATACCCAGCTCATACACAAGGACAACCCTCGCGCCTCAGATCACTGGGCGACTATACCATGTCCACATACATAGCCACGGGATCCTCGTCTGCCGCCTCGCACAGATGGGTCTGCCAAATGCCGTGTCTCCACCGCCTCACCAACTCACTCGCTTGCTTCCTCGTCGCTGCTCCACCTACCCGTGGGCCAACAGCGCAAAACATAAGATGAAACAAGCCTCACCTTTTACAAAATGTTCTCGCAGTGTCGGCAGTGCAGAAACAAGCTGCTACATCTTACAGCCGCAACGCATCTCCGACCTGCATCCTATCAGCTGACGACATGGAGTCGGTCCTTGCTTGCATCGTGAGACCTGATAGACTGCCTTGCCTTTCGCTGCGTTGCGTGTTCAGCGGAGAAACAAAACGAAGATGCACCGCGTTGTTGCTGACGAAGTAGATTGCGCCGCCAACACTCGCGTGCGCATGCGCGTTACGCCCGGAAGCTGATCAACACATTGACTCATCACCACTAACTTCCATCTTTCCAATCCATCGTCAATCCCGCCTTGACCTTTATTTTTGTTCGCAGCTCGTTCGTTCAAAAGATCCAGGGAGCGGCACGGGTAGCAAACTACTGCAGGTCATCGATGCGGTTGCGCGGCGCTCGCGGGCGGGGGTTAGGCCTAAGAAAAGGTCCAGTCGCTCTCGCCTCATCCTACGGGGGCGACACCAGCGCTTGCGTGATGCGCTTTCGGATGACTTGGGCCACTCGATTGCGAAAACGCCATGAATAGAGGCGCGCGTATGTGGGTTGGGGTAAGTAAAGTAAGGTGGGTGAGCGGGTTTCGTGGTCTGGCCTAGCCTGGCCGCCTTGCTGATGCGGATGTGTGGAGGTGGTTTGGGCAAGTGGATGGTCTGAAAGTAGGCGCTGGTGGCAGATGCGTGGGTGCGGCGAGGTGCCTGGCGACCAGTTTAGCAACCACCATCTTTCTTGTGGTTCTGAGACGGTGGTCTTAGGGGTTGTTGATGGTGGGTTGACTCAACCTTGACGGAAGGGTGGTTCAAGTCGGAGTGATGTCCGTAGACGCTCGTGGCAGATGTGTGTTTACGGCGTGGCTTTTACTATTTACCGCTGCTGGATGCATGTGTTAGGTGTTGATCACATTGAACAAGCCGAAGGATTCAACCCTAGGATCTCAGAACGCCCGATCGTAAGGGGAGTCAGGCATCTACAAGGCAAACTGACGCCTTGACGCTGGTGACAGCCTCGCGGGCGCTGATGTTTCATCGCCGGAAGGTCATGATACGGATCCACGGCATCACTACCTAATAGCGTTAACATCTTGTAAACATAGAGTCCTCTCTTTGATGAGCCCAGGAAGCAAGGGAAACGCAAGTAGAATTGGGTGTTCTATAGTTTATACACATGCCATAACAGCAAGTAGTTGTGATTGACGACAAAAACAAATCGAACACCTGTCTACATAACACTATGAATGATATTAACCAAACAGCATACATGAAGTCAATGGTTTGCTGGTTTCGATTTGAATACCGATGTACACTGCAGAGTGTTTAATTTTTCCAATCTGTATCATGCAAACACGAAAGAGTTGGCAACATTCAAGCTACAACATGGTATGACTAGCACTACTTAATACCCAGGAAAACTCTTCATAGACGCACTCCAAGAGACATCGCCAGAATGATCGTGCATGCTGAAAGTAAATGAGTGCGAGAGCAGCTCATATGTCAAAGAGTGCGTCCAAGATCCCGAGCCCAACATTGTTCACCACCCCATCACGAACGCTCTGACGGCACACTAAAGCCAGTTACGAAATCCTTCTCGAAGCCGTTGTCCAGACCCTCCATAGTCTCCTAGATTCGGGATGCTTCGTCATTGGCCGCGTCCATGCCCTCCGTACCCTCCTCGGTTCCGGATGCTTCATCTCCGGCCGCGTCCACGCCCTCCGTAGTCTCCTGGATCGCAGTTTCTTCAGCGGCGTCGTTGATGGTGTCCTCTCCATCCGCGCTCTCCCTAAGCCTAGTACGGTCTTGGTGCTCTTCCCAGACATTCCCCGACAACTCCTCTCCGAACACCCTACTACCCCTCCGCCTCAGACCCCTCAGTTTGAGCGTAAGTTTTGGCCGTTGCGTCTCTTCCTCCACGAGGTCATCAACATCCTCTGTCTGGACCGCCGTGGCACTGCTGCGACTGCTGTTACCCTCACTTCCGTCTTCATCTTGGGGGTCGGGCTTAACTGGAAGGCCGAGATATGTGTTGACATCGCTCAGTATGCTGCCCCGGTAACGACTTTGCATGTCTCCGGTATTGTCCATATGGGTTTTGAAGTCAGGGTACGTCTCACATAGCTCTCCCCACGTGGTGCTATCTCCCGGAACGTCGTTTCTGTTGAAACCGCCGCCACGGGGTGAGTCCTGTGCGCCGATATAGTGGACATCTCGCTGAGACCAATGAGAGGCTAGGGCGTCGAAAAAGAGTCTTTGGAGTAGTTCTATCCCGGCGGAAGCCTGACTGTGGCGGTCTTGTCTTGGAGGAGGCGGGGAGCCAACAGACGGTCTTCTTGCGACAGGACAAATGATCGCAATACGACGTAGGCTCCCGGCGGTGGTGTTAGCGCAGATATACGCAATATCACTCGCTCGAAGTAAAGATTGTTTCGCGTCGGATCTTGTGGACCGGGCAAGTGGCTCGACGAGGTTGTACAATTCCCGCATACCGGCTTCCCAGTATTCACTCGCTTCGAGCTTAGCCCCGAGGAGGCAGGCTTCAGCATGTGCTCGTAGGCTACGGTAACCGGTAACAACTGTGTTCGGACTGTATATGCTCGAGTTCATATACCAAACGAAATCGGCAAAGGCGTTGGGTGTGATGGTTGGAAGATGGATTTCGGAAATCGTTCTGTTAGCGGCGATTATCTTGTCGAACATGCTTGAATGTCGTATTAGAAGTGCCTTGGGTTTTTGCCAGGTTCGTTGATTTGACTCTGGTCCGACGATGATCTTCATTGTGCCTGGAACTTCTGGAGCGCTTGTGACGGATGGATCGCCGGATTGGTACGGACGAGTGGTTTCGGGCTTCAAGTTGAGTGTCTTGTAATCCGATCTGGCGGTGCTTATGTAGCGTGTATTGTACATGTTCGTACGTCTAGCGGGAGATGCCATGTTCGCTGTCTCGGCTTGTGCGTGTGTTCGTTGGCCGATCACTGGCGAGGTGGGAGGTGGGAAGCGGTGTAGTATCTGTGATGTACCGGGTGATGAACGCTTCTATAATATGTAGGCTTTTCGAGTGCAAGTGACGGTGCGCAAACGGACGCGATATCGCGTGCGCACTCTGGGTGACTGGCGGTAGTGAAAGTGACCCCAATGTAAGCGTTGCGTTGCTGATAAAAGTGAACGAGTACGGATGCGTAGTAAACATGTGATGGTAACGGAATATGATTAGACGAACTTGTTATGATGGTAGATGTGTGAGGGAATAATACATTGAGAAGTTGACTTATGGGGACAGCGCTGGTCCTGGCGATACGGGCAACAACGACCACATTCCATGGTATTGAGACCGAGTGAGGGTCACTCGCAATTGCCGCAAGAAGTATAATACCCATTCGAGTGGAGTAAGGCATGAGGGAGTGACGAAAGAGAGAAGCCGCAAGCATGATATGCTCGCAGGAAACGGACAACGACGAGTCGGAGTGAAGTGTTGAAAGTGAGAGCATCGCAAGGTAAGGCATCGTTGTGGCTAAGCCGTATCAGGCAACCACGACCTTGCACAAAAGCAAACTCCGTCTCATCCAACTCAACGACATCCATGACCATGATCACGCAAGCGCCTTCCCATCTACCTCCACCATCATGACCCTTGATCCCACCTGTTCTCGCTCCAACCCACCCGTGTCGCCCCTCCCTCCATAACGCTCACCAGCACGCCACTTCTCACCGAAAGTATAAAACACCCACGGTACGGGCGCGAAAGCAAGAGCGATGAACGCAAGCAACGAAAAGGACCATCCCACATCGAGCTTTTGATACATCTTATGCGAGAAGAGAGGCGCGAGACCGCCGACGAGCGAGCGCATGACTGAGCAGGCGGCCATGCCAGATGCGGAGTAGAGTGGGTAGGCGTCTAGGATGTATGTGCCTGTGAAGAACTAAATGAGGGTTAGCGGTCGTATGGCAAGTATTGAGAACCGACTCAAGACGATACATGAGTTGAGGAGGATGAACTTACGATAGCGCTCATAGACCCAGCACCAAACACCGCCGTTCCGATCAACGGCGCAATCCAGTGCACACCATACTGAGCCGTCCAAGCATAGATGAACAACCCTCTACTCACAAGCGGCCACCAGAAAATCATGAATAGCAACCTGTTCTCCGGTCTCGCGTCGCCCTTGAGTGCCTTCCGCTTGACGAGGCTGTCGCTAATTGCACCGCCTCCAAGCATACCAATGAGGTTACCGACAGCCGTACCGAGATAAGCAAGGCCCAGATTTTTGGGCGCCCATCCGTAAGTCTCGACGAATGTTGTCGGGATGGTCGTGTATAAGATATATGCGCATCCGTATCCGATAGCCGTGAGCAGCGAGGTAAAGAAGATCGGTCGGGACAGGAAAAGCATGTGTAGCGGCATGACCATCGCCGTGCGAAAAGCTACCAACTTGCTCGTCCCAGCGTCCAAATCAGACTTGGCCCTTAAATCCTTATTTCCCGTGTGTTTCCGCAACTGTGCAGCTTTTCGACGGAGTAGAACCGGTTCATACGTCTCCGACAAACATACCATGCTGAGCGCCGTACTCACCCCGCCCAAAATAGCAGTAAGATAGAATATCCACCGCCACCCTCTCGCAGCGTTGAGGTAGCTACCCGCCGTAGGACTAATCGCTGGACCGAGATTATACGCCAATCCTATCAAGGCCATGACCCCCCCGCGTTTCTCTTTCACCTAGAGATCACCAATGCTGGATGGCGCGAGGGCGAATACGCTACTACCGCCCACGCCGGCGAGGAAGCGGAAGACAGCCAAGGTGCCGAGAGAGTTGGATCGTCCGCATGCGAAGGTGCTTACCGTGAAGAGCACGTTACATCCGTGGTACAAAGGCAGTCGGCCGTATTGCTCCGAAAGGGGACTTATGAGAAGGGGACCGAACGCGTAGCCTAGGACATAGATACTCAGGACGAAGGCAGAGAGGTAGGCATCGGTTGATGCGAAGTCTCTTATGATGTCTGGCATTGCTGGCGCGACGACGGAGGACGTGAAAGGTCTACTGAAAGTCAGTGGGTTGTGATTACAGTATGAATGAAGCAAGATACTCACGATACAAAACACATGATGAATATGCAACCGATATTGATGTCCTTCTTCCACGAGAGGAAATTTCTGGGGTTTGCCGCATCGTCGTTGCCGTGCCAGTCGACGACACTCAACTGTCTTTCCTTGCTACGTCTGAGGGTGCTGGGTGTATTTAGCATGTTGGAGCCCGGACTTGTGTTGTAGCTGTTGTAAATGCTCGGTAGCTCTTCACTCCTATAAAGCTCCAGAGCTTCTTTTCGTGTGGAACTGTCACTCATGACGTCCGCCGAAGGGCAGGAGTGGATTCGGGTAACGAAGAGTTTCAGGTTCAGCGATCAGGCGTAGTGGGAGCAAGGAGGGGACAGAAAAGCCGAATTGGTCTGCGTTCGAGTAACGTCGTTCACGTGAGGCGTCTCGACCAGCCCTGTGATGGGGTTACGAGATGTGACGAGCACGTCATTTAGTCAAGATGAGTTCACATTTGAAGAGTTGCCGCTGCCGTGTGGAGGACACTAACACCCCAGGGCTTTCCATTCCCGCTCTTCACGTAAGGAGCAACTCGGAACATTCCGATTTGAATCGGAAGGTAGATGGAAAGCGGTGCAAACGGTTGGTATTAAGATCCAGGAGGACGCGAAAATTGGTGCGATCTCGGCTTTTCTTCTTACTTCCGACGGCCAGCTACTTACATTAGCGTGAGAACGAAGACGTCTGAAGTCGGCCAACAAGTGCTACCTGTCACTCTCAACTTGTACAGGATATTTCTCCAAACTCTCATACCACTGAAGCGTACTTCCGATCATGAAAGCCCAACTACCCCAGAAGGTACTGAGTGACGCCTGATATTGCGCCCAGCTCCGAGTATCGTATCCGAAAGCCGGACACAGCGTGAAGCCTATACCGCCTATGAGGTTCCAGGCCCCGACCCACCATCCCAGCGTTCGAGGAGCAGGTTTCCACCACTTGGACTGAGTCTCGATCATGAAGAGGGCTCCAGAAATGATGAAACCTATACCGCCAACGACTTGAGTAGTCCAGTAGAGGATTATGGTAAGGGTTTGCGACATCTGATCGTATATGCCGGGCAGTGCAGTCAGGCCCGCGATCCAGAAGATTGTTGCGCCGAGCAGCTGGGACATGGACGCTATAAACCCGAGATTGTGAATGTAGTGGGTCCGTAGTTCTTCGTTCGACGGCCACCAGACCCAGGAACGCTCTTGCGGCTCCAGATCGGGCTTTGGTTCGGCGATTTGTCGAGTCCTGACAGCATGCCGTTTGTTGTGATGGTGCGTGCAATGCGACTTTGACGGCCGCAGCTCTACGCGTACATTCCCCTCCCCTTCATGCGATAGGATCTGCTCCACCGCCCATCCGAAGCACCCCGATCGGCCCTCATTCACAGCTTCTGCTACGAGGAGCAATGACCCCACCTCGAAGATGCACACCCCGACGAACGCTGTTATGCCCCCACCATACAATTCCTCGTTTGTGAATTCCGAATCCGGTTGTACCAACGGCAGGAATACGAAAAAGGCATTGAACAACCATACCACGCTGCCCAATGTGAAGACAAAGGCAACATCGAAGGAAATATCCCATACGGGGAAGTATGTGAACATCCGCCAGATGTTGTGTGCGACGCTGCGGAACGAGGAAGTCGGGCGTGGGGTATCGTGTTTCGTTGAGACAGCAGTCTGGCTGTGTTCGATGTCTACGGCATGTCGTCCTTTGCGATCATTGCGCGAAGTCCACTTGTAGCGGACATCGGGACGGTCGTCGTGGCGGTAATGGGCTCGCGTGGGATTGAGGAAAGGAATCGGGCCGGTGACGCGATCGTCTTCGAGGCGTAGGCGATCATTATCGTGTCTCACGGGTTCGCGGGCTGGGTGGAAGGTTTTGTTGCGTTGCGTGCTGCGCGTGGCTGGACCATCGCGACTTGTCATGTCAGCTAGCTGTCGTCAATTCGGGTGAGTGTTGCCGTGTCGTTAGCATTGATGGAAGCTATCAGCATTATCGAGAGATAACTAGCGAGAATATACTGTGAACCCATGTTCGGACGCGAAGATGCTGCCCGCCTGCGTCATAGTACTAGACGGACGCAGCGGTTCGTGTTGTTAGCGTGCCCCAGCGCCGCTGAGTCAGCACCCAGCTTAGTCCCCAGCCCCCGCGCTGCTAGGTACGCACCTATGCGGCGTGGTACTCTCAATACAAAATCGTGCCCTCCAATGCGCTCCGCGACTAACTATATGATCACAAGTGCTGCTATATCGTATCCATAAGACTATCGGCAGCCGGTGGCAAAGCTTCTGGTAGGTGCACAGGTACCTAGTTACCTAGGTGGTGTGAGATAGGGCACGCCCGTGATTCCGTGCTGACTGAGGATTGGTATGTTGTGTCTAAGTTGCTCAGTAGCCAGCGATTGTTTCGCCTTCAGTTCTTGTCTTATAACCCAGATTCCCTTACTGAACTGCCCATGGCCTATAGAAGTGGATTTATCTAGGCTCCTGCTGACTCGGAAGTTTATAGCAAGCACTGAACAGCCGGCGACCGCGAAGCAAAATCAAGACACCATGTTCACAGGCAAGTCGGTCAGTTTGATCACATTTCAGGGCTTTGTTGACACCGGGTCAGATCAATGCCATCTCATCAGTATGGATTCGCATATTCCAACCAAAGCAGACGCGCCCGAGTACACGTTTGCTCTGGCGTACCGAAAGCCTGTGCGTATACGCCTGGCCAAAATCCAAAGTTGATTCGAACTGACCAGAGGCAGCGGCCTATACCCAAAACCTGGGAGAGGATGGCAGGTGACAACGGCGTCGGGTTCCTCGATCTACCGCGAGAGTTGAGAGACATGATCTACAATTACATCTGCACCAATCTGTCGACAAACGGCGACGGCTGGAACGACAAGCACGGCGCTTTCAAGTATTATATCCCAGGCAGTTCCCGATCACGCAATCTTGGTATCATGGAAACATGCCGCCAAGTGCATTGGGAATTCGCCGAAACACTCTACGCGCAGCCCCTTCAGCTCTGCCCCGTTTTATACAAATACCGGACGCAGTTCAATGTAGCAGGCTCGCATATCTTGCCCTTGTCGCTAACATATGCACATCTCGTTAAGAAGGTGGCTGTCCTTCACGACACAGAAATTCGAAAATTCCGAGCCCAGTACGACCTATTTGAGACAAAAACTTCAGGCGAGGAGCAATGGCGGCATGCTGTCTCGATTGCAACGCGGTTAGGAAAGCTTTTCCCCAAGATACAGACTGTACGCGTGCTTCATCGCATCTGCCCACGGGATTACGGCGTAGATCACACGTGGCAAACTGTTTGCGGACTACTTGGCGACACCAGAGAGGAGCAAGTCGAGGAGTCTGAAAAGTTCATCAGAGGTGTATGTTGGAGTGATGGGAGAAGCATCAAGATGCCGCCGCAACTGGAGTTGATGCACTTGGACGTTGACACCATCGTTGAAACGCCTTTGGTTGAAGCGATGAGGAATGTACGAGCAGCCGACATGAACAAGAGAGGACTTAAGCGGAAACGGTCTGCATGAACTAGCATCGCTAGCAAGCGGTCTGTCATATGGTTCGAAATCAATACAGCAGAAGCTGGACAAGAAACAAGCTGATAACTCCAATTTGAGCTAGTGGTATCAAAGCCGAAGGCCCTTAGCACATTCCCGGCGCCACAAGGTCATCACCAAACGCCACCGCTGTGCTAATGATACAGAAATCGTAGTAATAATATAAACAAACCCAACACCAGACCCATCACGACCATCGTTCCAACAACACATCATACATATCATACATCACAAACCCCACCTTTACCTCGCCTTATTTTCCCCCTTCCTCCCCTTCTCCCTCTCATCAATCTTCAACCCCCTAACCAACTGCCGTCCCATCATCCTGGAGATCTCCTTCGCATAATCCGTCATGCGCATGCTATTCCTCTCGTCGTCGCTCTTGCCCTCATACGCCTTCTCGCTATATGGTGGCGGCGCATCCGTATACCGCGCGTACTCCGCTTCGATACGTTGGAGGTTGGAGTTGGACGACGAGTTCGAGTCGCTGCGGTGGGCGGAGTGGTTTGACGAGTGCGAGTGCGTTGATGGACTCGGGAAGGACGTGTATGAGGAGTTGCGCGCTGCGGAGTCGTCTGTGGTGGAGGTTCCAGAGGGTCTTTGACCAGCGGCGGCGGCTTTGGCGATGGACGAGGCAGAGTCGTGGCGCGAGGAGAGCATCGAGGAGGGGGTTTCGCGTTCGTTGACGCTGACTTCGGGGTAGTGATCCATTTTCGCGTTTGGGAATGACTCGATCTCGTAGTGGTAGTAGCAGTGGCAGTAGTAGTAGTGTAAAATCTAGAAAACAAGATCTGAGATCTTTTGTATGACTTGAATGTGGTGTGACTACTAGCGTCCTTTGATGATGGAAGTGTTATTGGTTGCGCGTGTCCTGCTGCTGCGGTCGATGGCTGGGATATTTAAACAGCTGCCTACTCATACCACGCACATGATGTACATGACACAGACCCATACCAATCCTGTAAGTAATACTACGACGTCATTGCAGCGCCATCGTGCCCAGCTACGCTTTGGCTATCGCAGTCCGGATGAGGAAATGATGTGTGGCTCATCAGAAGACCACGCCTCAAAGACAGGAGTGCGTATAGTGCTTGGTTTCTATGACAAACTGGCGAAGACATTCCACAGCGGGCAAACTCAGTCTTGGACTGTTTAATGACACGCGATGATCTGGGAAGATGATGATGTTGGGGATAAACGTTATCGGGGGGGCGGACACGGAGCAAAACGAGGCGCAAGCGAAGCGAAGGATGTGTGGCGTTGCGAAATGGATGGGTCCAATGATGTCATTCATCACCATCAGCCGTGCCGTGTCGCACAGCAAAGACCGGAAAGCTGAGCATGCAGATCACAGGACATGATGAAACAATAATTGGCATATACGAAATGATGGGGTATCTTGGGTCCACACAGTGGACAATGCGTGTAACGTGACAGAGTAGGAGATGGGCGGTAGGACGAAAAGCAGGTACTGAGCCCCAACCAACAAACCTCATGCCCTGACTAGACCCCTGACGGCGTTCTTGAGCTTCCCCAACCCCCGCGAACTCCTCTTGTGGGATTTGTGTCGCTCTAGCTCCATGGCCGTTGGCGCGTTGAAGTTACCGCTTATTCTTCCAATCTCGCTCTGCGGGTGGTGTTGGTGTGCTGGTGACGGCGAATAGTACGGCTCAGCTGATGAGAATC